TGCAGAAGTAGATAACAATTTTCCTGAAAATATATTTTGAAAGTATTTTTACAAGTGTTTAAGTATTTGCAATAAGACAAAGACTTTAAAAATACTTAAATTGACAGCATTCCTTTTACAGGCAGGAAATCCCAGGTAGGACTTTTTCATCATCATTATTATTATTACAATACTCAGGAAATTAAAGAAATTAAACCTAGAAATACTGGCTGGCAGTTTTTTCCTAGACAGAGAAGTGTGCAAACTTGATGTGCAGGTCTTATAAATGGTAGCTATGGAAGCAGCACTGAAGCCGCAGCATGATCCCAGGAGGAGCTGATCGTCTAGGGTCGGTAAGGCAGTGTACTAAGCATTTAAAAATAAATTCATTTTTGCCAACAGGCAATCCACAGTTACCTTTAGCATCTTTTTGTTGGTTTTCTGTTAACAGTACCAGGTACTAATTGGTAAGACACAAGTAGTATACTTAGACTTGATTTGATACAGCAATCCCTAAGTTTTCTATAAATTAAGAAAGGCTATGAAAAATACCTATATTAAGAAATCCTTCTATAAATACACAAAACAAGCTAATTGAACACTCTGTTCATTATTGTTTGTGACACTCCCAAAACGCCAGACCCGCAAAGAAATGAATCAAGCCATACGAATAATATTTTTAATTAATATTAATATAGAAAGAGCACATGGTACATTCCAGCAGCAGCTAATTCCGCTCTAACATGGGGCGGGGAGGAGTTAAGGCTCGTTGAGGGCAACCTGATACAATGGTTTGCTTCCCTAACTCGGTCTTGGAGACAGCCTTTGTAAGTTTAAGAGACTATTCGTACACAAAACATGGGATGTTTATTTAGCAAAACATCAATAACAGATAAAAACATGCTTTGTTACAGTGGTAAAAATACACAAAGCTTTCAGGCTGTTTTTACACCAACTCCGTTCTGAAACCATAAAATGCCGGTTTGCAGCATGTTGTGCCTCGGTGTTGTATTAAACAGGCTATCGTTAGGGATCATGGTGACCAAGCTCATCCATTCAGTGGAATATAAAGTGCACAAGAAAAATAAGTGCATTGAAATGAACCATTTACGATCATGAGTAATTCCTGTAACACACAGGACTTGCTTAAAAGAGAAATCTCACAGGCTGTTTAGGAAAACGTAGTACTACATTTTTGAGGAGCACAGAACCAGTATCACAGCTATTAGAACTGAACAGACATATTGTTACTTTTTTCCTCCAATTATCTCCCACACGAAAGACAAGCATTCTGCTGCAGCTTCCTGCAGGTCTGGGGTTTCTCTGGGTTTGGTTTGATTTTAGCGATGCGTAAGGCATCACCTTTAACCGACACCTTTTCACTTTACCCTCTATGTTCAGAATCAACAAGCCTTTAGCAGCACAGTGATTTGTACAATTGGCTACTGATTTGAGCCCTCTAAAAATGCTTAGCAGAGTAGGGACTGAGGGCTGTATAGGGGTGCAGCTTTTCTCCCCAACTATGGAAGTTTACGTATTATGAAACTACATTTTTACAGGCTGTCAGGAACCCTATTTTCTATGTGTTTTCCCACTCACAGGTTTAAGCCATTGTTAGCAACATTTAAGAGCCAAACCATGAAGCAGTCATCTCAGTGCTATTAATATATGGGCACATTCACCATATAAAGAGAGAACTTACTGGGAGGTTCCCAAATGCATGAAACACCTAAGAGTTGGGTGCTTAGTCACCGGACTCTTTGGGCATTACATTTCACAGCAGCAGACGCTTTAAAATGCATGCTGTTTGTACTAAACAGCTTACTCAATTCCCCTACAATATATGCTGAAGGCTAAAAACAGTTTCTTACCCTTGTATACAAGTTATTTTACACCTCCTTTCACGGTGAAACCACTTTTCTGTCTGTCTGCTCCTTTCTGAGAAAGGAAATAAAAGTTAGGGTTAGTTTCCGTAACACTTCATTTACATGGCCAGATTATCTCCAATCCAGTGCAGTACACCATAAAGCAGTATTTTCTGGATAAAAAAAGACAACTGATTTGTCAAAACCAACACTTTTTTTTATGCTGTAGAGGACATCTCTGTCCTCTTAACTGATAAGCAACAGAGTAACCATGTAATCTTATGCTGTTTGCAAAACTTTTTACTGTTTTGCAGTAGTACAAAACGCAGGCTGTAAAGCACTGCCTGCATTTCGAAACAGTATTTGTCATCAAGAAGCGTGCACAGCAATGCATTTAAACTCCCTCAGCTTTTTCTGTACGTTTTCTACGTGTACCACTGTAAGAGCTCACACCACTTCTTTTCCATTTCCAAAGGCCACAAGATTGGAGGCAAGTGGCCAAGCAGTGCATTTACACCCAGCTATTTTTACTCACTTCTGCTAATAGAATGTGCATCTTGAAAATATGGGATTCCTGGATATTTGCACTTGTGAAGAAAAGTGGATATTTTGCTGCAAGATTATTTATCTAGAAAAGTTTAATATGGTTGCCAAGTCTCCCCTCTGGCGGTACAATTCCACAGCTGTTGGCTGAGTTCAGGCAGGAACAGGTACGGTAACTCTAACTTTAGGTAGCATGTAATGTATGTGAATGGCAGAGTGGGGAGGGGAGAAAGACACAAGTAGAAGACATATGAACATTACTGCATTGGGAAAACTAGAAAGTAATCTAGGGATAGGGAAGAGAAAGACCCCAGACATTCAAATTGGTCTCATTGGTACGTAGGTTTGTGCTTGTTCGTTCTGTAAAGCCTCTGTTTGCTCCTCGTTCAGAAGGGGCACCGCTTGCAACCACTTCCAGGCTGAGCGTCATGATGGGGCTAGGGTAATGAAGGTATCCAACAAGGTACTAAACTTTGTAAAGAGCAAGTTGAGACTCTGGTGTACTGTTATTGCCCTTTTTTTTTTGGGGGAAGCTCCCTCCTGCCTTTGCTTTGCGAACAGCTCGCTCCAAAGGCATCACCTGAGGTACCTGGAGGCTGTAGCTGTGCAGCCAAGGGCTGGCTACCCTACCTTCTGTTCAGATTATGGAAGTGCTCTCAAGCCCCCATTTTAAGAAATACAAGCTGCCTAGCTGAGACCATCAGCCAGTCCCTTTACCTTACACTGCCAATGAGATGCTCCTATGGCATCTTTATCAACACATCTGAGCAGCTGCAGCTGCTGTCCCAGAGCAGGACGGTAGGTAGCCAAGGAAAAGCCAACGGACAATAACCCATCCACTGACAGACTGCTACAGAATCCGTCACCTAGAGCCTCACTGAAATGTTTCAGGAGAGAGAGTTCAAGTAGTACTGAAACTGAAGAAATAAGAGTTTTGCCAAGGAGCACAGACTAGATAAATAAGGCAAGGGAGCATGGAAGCTACAAGACCATTAGAGGCAAAAGCAACAGTGACACTTTTAACAACTTCCTTGCTCTTGAGAGTGAAAAATTAGAGCACACTTCATGCAGCGGCTAATGGAACAGATCAACTCTCTCGGCACCTCTTGCTTTAGACAGATTAGTCCTTCCAGCATAATTTTCAAATCTCTCTCTAGTACAGTTCAGTAGTAAAGTGTGTCCTAAAGAAACATTTTCATTTTTCCGTGAAGAACAAAGTAACCACATTGTCTACAATATGGGATCAGTCTCCACTGTCTTTAAAACAGCACCTTTTTCAAAGTGGCTTTTCCTCTGTTTTATTTTGTGATCTTCTATAGACTTGATCCCAAGAAGGAAGTTTTCCATATAAAACATCTTAAGAGTTGAAAATGTTCAGCTCATCTTTATGCAATTTGTACAACCAGATTTTACTGCATATATATAGTTGCATGTTTGCTAGTTAGTGTAGACAGAAGTAGCTAAAAAGCAACTAACCCAGCAGTATTTCATTGCAAACAGGAGCCAACAGACTTCAAAGTATAATATTTTACATCAGCACAGGCTTTGCAGCTTTTCCAGTTAGTTTTCATTAGGTATACAGTAAAACTCTGATCTACTTTTATTTATAGTTTCATCTTTCCAGGCAGAGATTTTTAACATTCTGAAATGAAGAGTCGGATGTATAACATATTCGCAGGTAGTAGCTTAATGTACTGTAGAAAAGTGGTTTTTTTTTTACCAAGGTCTAGAATCCACTTCAGTAACATTCCCTGAGGCAATCCACTATTCTATTGTTTTGTCCTCGAATCATTTGTATATGGTTGGTGTTCTGTTCCAGACTGCTTTGCTTCTTTAAAAACAGACACTTAGAAAAAGACATCTGTTAACTTTCATTGCTAATGTTATATTTCAGCAATTACGCTTCCCCTTAATACCCTCTTCTCCTCCTCTTTTTCCCCCTCCAAAAATCGCAAGTTAACAGATATCAAATCTGTGTGCTTCATTTTCACAAGATAGGAATTCAGATCTTTAGATGAATGTTAATTTTAAAAGATGCAAATGTGTGAAAGTAGACAGACAACAGAATTAATATGCAATGAACATTCTAAAATTTGTCTTACTGAAACTGAAGTTGCTCTCTCTTCAAGAGAGAGAATCTACGGTGCTAGAAAGACCAACAGTGGGGAGAAGTAGTGGGCATGGAGGGTAGAGAAACACAAGAGAATCATCACCCTTGGTCCACAGAACTGCACTGAGCAAGAACACTGTGTATCTTTACATTCTCAATGGACTAAGGAGGTTTCTCCTGATATAATCCCACCTTTAACATTGCAGAAGAGCCTGTGTATAATCAATGCACTTAAAGCTTTAAGTTTTAGTAACGTCACTTAAACTTTGTTTATAAAACAAACACACACAAGCACACTTCCCAGAGTGCAAAATGCTTAAATACTTCAATTACAGAACTCCACGTGGTTTTTGGAACAGTGATCCTTTTGTTCTGAGCGTCAGCTTCATCCTTGTCATCGCATCCATTGCCAGCAACGGTTGCATTAAAACTAACCAAAAAATGCAGCAAATGCAACAGTAGATAACTCTGTACTGTTTCTTCAGTTTCCCACGGGACATTGTTCATTTGTATAAACTCATCGTGGGACTTTGATACATGCACATGTAGGCATCACAAAGCAGTCTTCGTGCACAACCTTGAATTTTTCTGGAATCCAGTGAGTGTAATTCTTCTAGAGACATCTTCAGGTATTCACCAACTTCTGGACACGGGGTAACTTGTGGAATATTAAAGCCATTCTGACCTCCTTATAACCGTAAGGAAAGAAAAAGAAACAGATTAGGATAGTGTCTACATGTATGTATGCTTTCTAATGTACTTTAATTACAACAGCATCACCAGTTCTTGAAAATGCCTTCTGAAAAAAAAACCTAAACATGCTATTCTGGACTACTGCAGGGTAAACTTACGTGTAAAGTGTATCATTCAATAAAAATCACAACTGGTGTCAAAGTATCTTGTAGCATTACTAACAAACACCCACACAACACCCCCCACCAGAAGGAGATCTTTGTGGTTTTGTTAACACTAAAGATTCTGTACGACTTTAGGGGAGTGACGTGAATACTTACTCCACCTCAAATGCTACCGCATTTGTTAGTAACATGACAACTGGTAATGGCTTATGAATTTCTAAACCATGAGTATCTGTACCTGACTTGCAAGACTAAGGCAGAGATTGTTCCTGGCCATTTCCCATGTAAAAATGAGCAAATTCAAACAACACGAGTACAGCCATCCATGACACTGCTCCCCAGCGGACATTTTTGGCTTATAGCACCAGCTGAAGAAAAATATTTGTGATGCAAAACCCCCTAAGATCAGCAGGATCATCCAGCGAGTATCTCATGTAATCTACATTCCTGAAATAAAGTGGTTCTTCACAGACTTCAGTCATACACATTTCAAGCACTTTGAAACAAAGCTTGACTGCCTTCTGGTTGTTACAAGAAAGATACTTTAATCCTGCAGCAATTTCATTTTCAACAGGAGGAAAGATTCTTCTCCCCCACCCCTAAATCACACTGTAACACAGGGGTTCAAGAATTCTTTGTGCAAAGAACTGTTGCGATGACTCTGATACTTGTGTCTATTACTGTTTTTCTCAGACATAAAACTGAACAGTCCTCTTTTAAACCCTATTTAATGGAGCAGTATTTAAGAGAGCACCTGTTCTACTGACATTTGTATTATTACAGAGCAACGTTTTGTCACTGATAACTCTAAAGAGATTCAATGGAACTGTATAGATGTTGTAACGCGTGACTATTTGATTCTAAAGACACCTGCACTAAGTCATTTAAGGAAAAGCAATAAAAATATTTGCATACTACCTGATAATTGTGCACATCCATTTAAATATAGTCTGCAAGCACACATGCCTGCAGTTGATTATTTAAAATGAATTTGCTCTGCTAAACTTGCAAAGTATAGAAAAATGTCTAAGGAGTCCGGCTAGAAAACTTCTGTAGTTACTTCTGTACCATCTACTTACTAAGGCAGCCAGTCTAGTTGAAATTCAGATTACGCAATTCTATGAAATCAATGCACTCAGGGTAAGGCTGGGTCAAGATTAGTGTTCCAGCATCAAGTACTTCAAGTTAAATGATATCAATATCCCCAAAATATTAAGAAATAGGCACTGAAATTTAAAATAGTAATACATGTAAAAAAATTAAGAGAAAATTAGTAAGAATAAATAAAAGATCTACCGTCCCGATCTGCCATGCTGTCAAAGAAAAGCCAGGCAGAGTCATCCCTCCCGTATTTAACAAAAGCTACATAGTGGCTTGTTTCTATGCAGAGAACAGCAAACAACTCCATCTTCTGGTACGGGATGCAGCCATGTCGCCAGTCCCAGTCTGGCAGATCTTTAGGTAGTGACAATGGATTGAATTTATGACTCTGTCTCTTGGGATGAAGATGAACCTACAATTGAAGTGATATTTCAGAAGACAAAAAACACCCCATAAGATTATTTGTTCCAGTGGCAGACAAAGCTAAAAGAACACTACTGCTGAACTGAAGATTAATGGCACTAGAGAAGGAACTGCAATAACAGTAGCTGACTAAACGTTTCTTCTATTTTTCCCCACCAGTGTAGCTCAATATTGCCCAGAAAGTTCAAATCTAAGGTTAGAAGGGAAAACAGATTTAATGCAACAATTTTATACTACGCTCAGACTCGAAAACAAGCCGTGCCTATGACAGCGTCACACAAGTTACCAAACAGCTCTCAAAATTAAATGTTGCTATGTCACGAATTTATCAATTCAAACAAGGTATCATGTATGTAAAATCAGGATTTTTAAGCAGGTGGCAGGAAACAGATTCAAAGCTGCCCACGATTACTACTTCTCCACCATATTCAGTCCTGGATTTGGCAGCTGCTGTGTTTTCAGTAAGAAACTGTTGAAGAGTACATTGCAGAGTCAAGCAAGCGGAGCTCCCGATTTGTCACCGCAGGCTACACTTACCTCGGTGGGCGCAGCTACACTAGTGCTGGTGAGAAAGTCTCACTACACTCTAAACTTTTCTGTCGATTATTACAGCATGTACCATAGGGGTTAAACCCATGGAGAATAACATTAACAACTTACTTGTGTATTGCAGGTTTTGCAGAACTGTTTGATTTTCCCAGCAGAAATGTCAGTATCTTCGTAACACTCTCTACACTCGTACATAGCAAGCCCTCCGCATATACGGCACTGCCTGGGAGCTGCATTTTTAAAGAAGGTATTAGTCTCCAATTCTGGAAGGCTTTTTTTGGTGTTTTTTTGTTGTTGTTGTTTTTGGTTTTGGTTTTTTTTAGATGGGGGTATGGAAAGGAGGGAGGATTACTACTTTAAATGGAGAAAAGCACCACATTAAAAAAGCTAAAACCAGATTGCCAATCAAAGCAGAAATGTACCACTGTATTTAACTTCCTCCTTTGGCATAATGTGGAACAAGAGAAAAAGGTTCAGAGTGGTAAGCTACAAAACAGAAGATAATAAAAATAAGTTTTAACTGCATGAACAAGTAAAAAAAGACTTTTACATCAAGTTAGTTCTCTCTATTGTATTGGTACAGCTAGCTTAGCCCCATGTCTGTCAACACCAGGAAAAAAAAAGCAATGGCCATGACAGTGAAAGAAAAGGCCATGATGGTTTCAGAGCTTATTATTCTAACAAATTTTAGCAGTTTTATTAATTCTTATCTCAAATTTAAAACTAGATGTCTTTTCTCAGGTAATGCAATGAAAAATTCTGGGGGATGACAAATGTCAGAAATTTAGGTCACAAAAAAGCGATAGATTTAAAGTTGAAAAATGCACCATCACTACATGCTGCAGTCTTACATACCGATCTCGGGTTCTCTCCTAGTTTGATAAACTAATGACAAAAAGCTTAAAAGCAAGCAGCAGCACAAACTAATGAAGACTAATGAAACGTAGTCAACACTGTAAATACCTGTTAACCTATCTTGGTGCTACACTTACCTTTTAAGATTTTCTACCTGCCACATTAATGAATTGTTTTGCTGCCAGTAACTCAATTTTAACAACACTGTCTTGAAATAATAAGTTTAGTTGTACAGATACCCAAGAATTAAATAAACATAATCAAGTTATATTCTATACATTCTTCTGAATTATAGCTTTTGACATGAGACAAAAAAGCATTCTAGCCAGTAAACTTTCCTTTCTCCTCAGCCTGAGCATCTCACACTACTTTGTTAAATATTTAATAAAAACAAAAAACAGAACTACCAGGAGTACTTAATCTCACTGTTAGTCACTCTCAACAACTCTCTTATTACACAACACAATGTTGTATACTTACTATCTTCAAGTAAGTCTGTTATATTTAATTCCAAGGATGGAAAAATTTTGTTGAACATTTTGAAGTCTTTTCCAAACCGAGGCATCTGGATGATCAGGCAAGAGGGTGCCTAGGTAAAATGCCAAAATGTAATGTAATGAGCTTAAAATAGGTTATTATCTAGGTTTAGAGACATATTTCTAATGCTGTGAACATATTCGTATTATTTAAACTTGCAGCCCATTAACTTCAGAATTAACAAGACAGTAAACAATCCAAAATTAAGCCTTTGAGAGAAACAACAGCTAAAAAAAAAAAACCAGGAAAGTGGCATCTAAATCAAATGTCAAATGTCGTAAGTCTCAGTCATGCTCAGGTATGATATTAAATATACTGGACTACACTCCCCCATCCAGGGAAGGGAATGCGGAATCTTCCCTTTGTAAAGCTTTTCACAAACAGAGGTATCTCGAAATACTGGTCGTCAAGACAACTTACTGGCACTAACCAAGACGTTTTCTTTCAGTAATTCTTTGCCTAAATTACTTTCGTCTGTCCAGCCAAAGGATACATGTCATTAAGTCAGCTTTACATACTTCTGTAATGTAGGCAACCTGTACCACTGCACTAGTACTCCCACTTCCAGCATGTCCACATTTTGGTTCTGCACCAAATCCTACAGTTGTCCCATTGCAGAACGGGCGAGTATCTAGGTATCGTTGCTTCTAACAAAGCAGCAGCAGCACCAACCTCTGCAAACTTCAAGTTGCTGTTGATGAACGACCACTCTAGTAACTGCTGAATTGTTGGGACGCCAACTTTCTCATTTTTGTCCATAAAAATTTGATAGAAGTAACAGTCTTGTACTTTCTGACCTGCTGATCTAAAAACAGATTTAAAAAACAGACTCTGAAGCTTTATGTAATGATGACTGCATTTTACTAGGAAAATAACATCTACCACAAAATAGTCTATACAACATTCTCTCTGCATTGAAATATATTGTGCCTTTTTTTTTTTTAGGGAAAAAAAACCAAACGCCCACCAACAAAATGCCTTAGATCACAGGCAAGCAACTGTGGACTGCTTTTAGAAAAACTTAATTAAGAAACAAAAGCAGTATAAGTTTCAGGTATGATTTAAAAACATATCGCTATGCATGAATGAACTACCAGCTGAGAAATACTTCCTAACCATACGCATCAAAAACTCCAACACACCATAGCAGCTTTCATTGGAAAGACAAGTGAGAGTTTCAGTAATAAAACGTCAAAAGGAACAACAATAATTCTCTTCGGTATGATATTCCCAATCAGGAGTTAAAAAAGCAAAAAAAGACTGGGTTTAATGAAACATTTCCTTCTAATCAGGGAGGTATTTACACTGCTTCCTACAGCAGAAGTCTCGCACAGATGGCTAGTGCTGCTAGACTTGCAGTTTAGTTAAAAGGAACTCTCCATAAGGATAATCCCTATTTAAGGGCGCTCCAGCTCTAACTGTTAAGTAGCCTTCCACATGTAGGCAAACATTAAGGCGGCAGGCTATCAGCTGTCAATGCTAGTCATAGTAAGGGGTCTGGATAAACGTCTTCATCCTCTCAAAAAAAAAAAAAAAAAAAAAAAAAGGCAAAAAAAGAGAGCAAGAGAAGCAAAAAAACGCATCACACAAACACACACCACAAACTAACTCCCCCAAAACACTGAAAACTAAGAACCACAAAACCACAACACAGTATTATGCGGATAGGGAGAGGGGTCAAAGGATTAAGCTACCCATTTAAGTAGAATGTGAGGTCAGATGTTTCAAAACAAAGTCAAAATTAAGTACTGATATTTTCAGGTAATATTTGTGTTGCATAAACATAAATCTGAGATATTTGAGAAGAGAGCTTCAGATGAGTAGGTCAACCTACTCTGGAAGGACATAAAAGACTGCGTTCACATTGAAGAAACTGATATTGCTACCATGGAGAAAAAGCATATAGGAGTAACTAGCCTCTAACAGCACATGAAAAAAGTTAGGTAGGACCCGTTTCATTATTCTAATTATAATAATAAATACTATTAATATAATTATAGTATTGTACCCCAGCTGTTTAACCAGAAGAATACATAAGCCACAGGGGCTTCTCGGCACTTCATATTTCACAGAACTGAAGAGACGCAGTAGCAACAGCTGTGAGGGTCTTAAAATGGCAAGCTACTCTCTAAACACTTTTCTATATAGACCAAATAGATGCTTGAAGTTACTAGTCATTGTGTTTTGGTTCGGGAGGGGGCAGGTTTAACCTAACAGTAGATTACAAACATAGATCTCTGTCTAGGCAGAAGCAGGAACACAGTTCCAAAGCCATGATATGCCTTGATCTCTAATCCTTCGAACTTCTTCAGTACTTCCCTACAGAACTGCCACAGAGGATAGCCTCAGGATACTCAGATGGCATCTGTGCAGCGAACCACAGCATACCGCACACGGCTGCTCTAGTTATGGTGTCCTAGTGCCCGTATCTCTGCATAGCGCAGCCACATGAAGAGGTGCCGCAGGGCCCACTCACAGCAGCCCTCCGGCAGCACTGCAGACAGGCAGGAAGGCTCTCCAGCAGGCAGCATGAGGACAGGGGATCTTTGCCCAGTTCTCATGAAACTATGTTCATGAGCTTTTCCAACAAGAGACCAGTGGGGCAACACCCACTTACCAAAAAAGGTAGGAAATAGTGTCAAATTGACAAATTCTAATCTTACTAGAAATAAGAATCACAACTCAAAGGTGCTCTAAGAGCTATGTCAATTTGAAAGGCAGCAGACACTCTCTCCTCATCAGCCGCTACAAATAGATGAGTTCAACAAAGAGAGAAGATTCACCTTATTTTCAGCAGTGGCTCAACTCTTAGAATATGGTGAAATAAAATATTCAGAAATTCTTCTGGATCTGGAGGGGACAAAAAAAAAAAAAGTCTTGTTAGTATGCAAAACCAGATACATTATTCAAGACTGATTTTAAATCAAAGTTTTCACAACTTTACTAGGAAAAAAGTTAAAGGTTCATTTTTATAGCTTTATTAACACAATAAGGTTATAACAAACTATGAACATTTCCATGATACAAACCTCTATTTACTCTTTTCACGTCAAACTGGCCTAACAAAAGACACAGGCTCAACAGGGTAACAAAGCTTTCCAGTAAAGATCAAAAAGATGCCCTGTATTTCAGAGGAATCATTTGGCACCACACAAATTTTTTTTCAGGAGAAATAAAAGCTTTTAAAAGAAAACAGTGAAACTGCAGAGAAGCAGTGAGGAGTAGTGACAGTAACACTTACATAAAAACCACACAATAGCACAAAGTTCTCTAATCAAGCATGCAGCTAACACTAGCTTCCCAGGAGTCTGTTCTCCCCCAACACTGAGAGTTTTCTGGTGTATTTCTCTTCCTGCCACTGACTGCAATAAATATTGGTTTCCAGTATCTAGCATTTACAAAGCAAGTAGTGTCCTCCCAAACAAAAATGAAATGGCTACATAATACAATGCTAATTAATCACTACATGCATCAGAAGATCAAAAGGTTGGGAATTGATTTTCTAACATGATTTACACATTTTATTTCTTAAAATACTACATAACCATTGTGACAATAAAATGTTGTAGTGAAAAGAGTATTCCTCAGGGACCAAAAGTGACATTGTGAAAGAGGACAGAGACCCCAGCTGTATCACAGTCTTCATCTCTCAGGAAGAGTCCCAGATCTCCCCTAACTGCTTGAAGGGAGTAACATGGGCACAGTTCTGGTATATAGCAAGGTATTTCAGTTCTTTCATGTTACGAATCTTACAAATCTCAAAGAAAGGAAAACCTCCCCAGTTACCTTTTTCCTCTGAAGTGAATCCTGATGCAGCCTCAACTTTTTCAAGTATTTTCCTCAGTTTCATTATTTTTGTAGCACATACATATCCATATCTAAGATAAATGGGTTTAATAAGCTATTAGCTAGTTTGTGATCAAGTCAGAGAAGCAGAAAAAAACCCACCTCTTACATGCCAAAATACAGGCTCTCAGATCCTTCTTTAAGCGTGTACAGTATTTCTTCAAAACTATGTACTGACTCCTCATATACAATCTGACTTCCAGTTTGTTAATGCAGTATAAATTTAGCTCAGTGCTCAATGTTCTTGCATAATCTTTCAGAGCTCTTTTTAAACATTAACTTAGGAGGATAACTGTTTTCTGATTTGTCAGTCAATTACTTTTGATTTGTTTTCACTCTAATTTGCACTGCTTAATACATCATTTTCAGAATGTCACATAACAGCAGCACTGTGGGAGTTGTTAATAAAAAAAAATTTCAATATTTGAGAAAAAGATACAGAACTGTATTGCTGACCTAAGAAGCTGAAGTTTTGAGCATTCAATCTTTTCCTCTAAAACTTTACAAAAAAGTGCAAAGAAAGTTCTAAGGGTGGTGGAAAGGTAGGAAAAGTAAGGCTTTGTCGTCTCAGCCATTTGAGATTTTTGCTGCTTGGTATGTATCCTACTACCTACACCACAGAACCCTGGAACACACCAGGCAAAGTACACACACCCTTCCAAGAACAAGGGTTCAGAAGCCATCATTTTATTCCAGGAATCAAACATAAAACTTTGTGATAAATTGTTCAGTGACAGCCCACAGAATTTCAGAACTACAACTGCATTATTTACATGTCTAAAAAAGCCACTAAGCTAAAGACAAAAACTTTTCATGCAGATTTTTGCCATATTTCCTTTGTTCATTGTGCCTAAGAAATTACAAAACTTATGTTCTTTTAATAAAAGTATTTTGACCACTTGAAGACCACACGTAAACATTAATGAAACTTTTAAAGCCTCACCAAATCTATCAAACTGTGAAACGCCACATAAGATAACCCAAACACCTTCACCGCATTAAAAACATGTAAATACAAATACTGTGAACAAACACAACTTGTATCTGTCAATGCTTTTGTATTCATACCTATACAAATTTTACAACAGCTTTATGCTGACCACATTTCTCAATACAGACTAGTGAAAATATTTTATCACTGAACAATAAATAACTATTTCCAGTTAGCACTGATTAAATTTACCATGAAGAACAAGTAACATACTCAAAAAAATAAACAGACAGACTGGCAGCAGCAGCTGGCCAAACGTTTCAGTTTTGCAATAGGAACACATACACAGCAGATCTAGTATAAAATTTATATTGGACCAGAGACCAGTGCATGTCTTTATACTTACATTCTCAAAGGATTCACAATCTCTGTCCGCAACAGGTCTTGAGTCTCACTATAATACTCTACGTCATTCTTTTCTTTAGGTCTCAGTAACACAGTGTCCAAAACAGAGCTAAAAGAAAACAGGCTACAAAGAAAAAAAGAACAGGAAAGTTGTTTCAATACTGCAAGATGCAACCATTCAGATGCCTAAGCAACATGAGACAAACCAAGCAAAGCCACAGGAAGAATTAGAGAACTAAACAAACTCAAAAAGAGATAATTACGGACAGAGAACAACACAGCTGTACTAAATAGTAAAAAAGTCCACTCTAACCCAGTATCCTTTCTGCAGCAGAGTACAAAACCAGTTGCCAAGGCAGGATTCTGCAAACAAGTGAGTTCAGAGATATTTCCCTCGCTCCACCCCCGGCCTGTGTACTCTTTCATCCTTCAACCATTTACAGTCAAAAACAGTATAGATACGTAAGGGCCAGTACAATTTGCACATGATTCGCACTTCATGTTGGGCACCAAAGCTGCAGAAGTTGTTCAGATTGAAAGAGCACAGTAATGTGTCACAGCTTGCAGCGCACGACTTCGTAACCCGCACAGTAATACACACAGACAGTCATTACAACAAAGATCTGCATTTCTAGCATGGGATGCCACTATACAAATTATGAACTTACCAGAATAAGGTGGAGTCTAAGTAACAGGAGTTGTAATGACCCTGGATACCTTTCTTCTTTCCAATCATTGTCTCTAAACCTTCTTTTTCCATTTTTGGAGGAGTGTTTTCTTCTACCACTTCACTTAAGTAACCTCCAAAGGCTGAAATTTTTTTTATCAAAAGACACTTTAAAGCCTCAAATTTTATTCCCCTTGAGATTTTCCTATTAATGTTTTATAGCTAAGCTGCTGCCTTAGTGTAAGCATTACTTCTCTGGACTAGAATAGCATTTTATTATAGCTGAGACTCACTGTCTTCCAGAGAGTGAACAAGGCCTTGCATTCCACTGACAACGCACATTAGAGTGCTTCAGAAAGCCTGCAGCACTGAATTAACTTCATCCAGTAGGAATGAAGTTCTCTTCTCATTATAAATGCCCTGTTCACACTATCTTATAAGTTTCAGACATTTGCTGTTGTCCCAGGCAATACAACATCACCGAAGAAATCTTAAAATATTTGAATTAGAAAAAAAATTGAGCTTTTCAGCACTACCTTTCACCATAAAAATATATTCTTTTCTACGTTAATATTTACAAAAAAATAATCTGACATTATAGGAAAATTGTATTTCTGATAATGCAATCAATCACATATTGCTGGAGCTGCAAATACCATTTTCAGGAAGATTGCTTTTCATCTTCTAAAGTAAAAAGTGTACAGCATAACAAAAAATCCCTTAATTTTATGGAATTTCTTTAAATATAGGAACATTTTCTTGTTTTAAAGCATAAAAGAGTAATCCATAGAAGTGTTATGTTCTGTACAGACTGATCTTCTATTCACTAATCTAAGTAAGACCTGTACAGATTTTCAACTGCCCAATACAAAGAACATATTGCAGGAATAAATGAAACCAAAACCCAGGTCAGTCCCCAGCTGATAAATAAGCAGAAGGTCAGTACCTAGAGAGTTGCAGCGTTCAATCTGGTTGGAAACAGGCTGTAGCGAGGCAAACCTGGAATCAGGCCTGCAGCTTTTGAGTTTAACAAAAAGAGCTTTCTTTGGCGCACAAGTGAAGTATCGAGTTCCTTTAAATGTTCCGTCTGTACAACCTGCACATTCATCTTCCTGAAAATTCAAGTGAGAATTCACTATTTTTCTTAATACTAGAATTCTGCAGTAAGACATTTGATAAAATAGCTACTCACAAGTCACCCTTTAGGTATTCTGAAGCTTGATATACAATGTACCTGCATTTTAGTATACAAAGCTTCGTCTGAGGTGTTCTTTAACTGGATTTATTGAGAAAACTAAGAGTCACACTTTTTTCTTCATGCTTAACCTTTCATCCCATCCAAAATAAAATAAAAATTCCATCAGAAGCAGCTTGGGGGAGGTGGGAGAGGAGAGCGAGAATTAAACCTAGTCAACATTAGGAACTTCACTAAGCTAGCTACTCACTCCAAATGCCTTCTGCAGTTAGAAAGAGCACACATTTCCCACTAAGCATTGGATAGTGTGAATACTTCCAGTGTGACTGTGGCCTGAACAAGAAAAATACCTGCTTCAGAACACGCAAAATGTACATCAAGGAAAGAGAACACAAACTAGGTATGAAAAACAACCAGCTATCATTATTTATCTTTGATAACACAATTTAAGGTATATTGTCTGCTTACTAACAATTGCTGGGTTTTAATGCAGCAATGCATGACAGGCAAGCCCGAGAGCCCAGTTTAACACAAGGCATCCTAGAATGCAGTCTCAGAACACCTGTGGCAAACTACAGCATGAGCTTCACCCAAAAAACCCACAAGCATCAGGATTTTTTGTAACAGCTGAAATTCCAGTTTCATTCTCACCTATTTTGCTAAAGATGTTTGTTGTTTTACGTAATTGTACGCTGCCTTATGTGAAATTTTAATGAACGTTATCCCAAAATAAAGACCCCCATCTCTCTAATTGCGTACACATTAACTGATAGCCAATCACAACCTTAGCAGCAGCTGTCACACAGTAAATCTCAGTGCGTAACAGCAATTCATATTTGCAGCAACTGTGAATTTGCAAAGGGCCCACAGGAACACATAAAGCACATGGCTGTCAAATCAACAGTATCACTACCACCGATTAGCAAAGCCAGTCTTATCACCGAGAGTTGTAACCCTGACTCTGTCTGTTCACTGGTACGCAAAAAACAAAGAAATGTATATTCAGTAAAGACTCTTACAGTCAGGGCATTTTATGTAAGTCTGCACTTCAAAGAACCTTTAAAACAGTCAGCCTTTTTCAATTAAAATCTCCCTGACGTAAGCAAAGGGCACTCCTTTAAAGTAAGTGACCAGTCCTACAAATTCAATTACCCATGGTGGCACAAAGACATCTCAGCACCTATTAACAGAGTAAGGTCTAGGGCAGCCACATAAGTCAGAGCTCATCTAAGAATTTAGCTATAAGGAGATCACATGACAGCCCGTGTGGACAAATTTCTCCAGACTGACTGCTTTTGCAAAGTATACAGGCACCAACTCTCAGGAACAAAACTAGAAACATGTAATTAGTATCAATACGAACTACAACGTATATTTACCAGTTCCAGTCCAGCTAATACTTCATTTACTCCAGGGGGTTGGCCAATCCAGCGGATTACTCCATAGAAAGGAGGATTTTCTTTAACTTCAGCCAAGGAACCTGCTTCAAGACCGTGTGAGTTCCCAACTGGGCCTACTGTTGATGGACTATCCTGATTAGCCGTAGTATTTACATCACCAATGACGGACTGAACAGATAAAGAGAGTGGACTATGTCCAATAGTACCATTAGTACTCGATGCTTTTGTCAAGCTAAAAGGGAGGGAGTGAAATCTGTTTTCTGTCGACATGGAGTTTGTTAAAGGTGGCTGCAGAGGTGGTGAAGAATGCCCAAACCCAGATGAATCAGTAAGTGATTTTGCAGGGTCTTCAGCAACTGTTAAAATCAAAACCGAGATGTTAGTAGATGTTGGGGGGGGGTTTCACCCACCTTAAAAAAGCAAAGACTTAGCTATCAAACCAATGAAGGGTATCTGCAACCACATCTGATTTAGTGGGTGTCCTGTATGGGAAGCACTAACAGCTGGGACATGTAGGAATATGTCTGTCGCTTGGCAACACTGGAGAGGAAAGAACTGGCTGAGGAGACACTGGTCTAGCCCTGCCACTTTTACCACAACCAACAGCACAGAGAAAAGTGATGTTAGCCAGAAACTACGTGAAGGTTTAGACTGAAAACTTTTTCTTTTTTTACCCCCACACTGGAATTTTTCTTCGAATACAAGTTAACAGCCCCAGGAATTATGACTGTAGTGGGCAAAATTAGGAAGAACTCATTGGTCAGTGTGACTGAGGAAAGGATTTGCTTCACAGCTTATAGAGAGATGAGTAATTGTTTGCAGACATGATTTGCAAATGGAAAAGTGTTTATTCTCTATGGCTCTATCACAATATACTTTTGTTCCAACCCAAGGAATCCATCAGTGTCTATAAAGAATAAAGGATTTAAATAAGTCATGACTAATGCAGTGTTTGATAAATGAGATCACACCTAGATGTAACAGCAAGTGTTCTGCTCATGGTCTCATGACACACCATTGGTATTCACAGAGCAAAAGCCTCTTCATCACCTCTTCTCCCCACACTGTTTCATTAACTGAGGTTAATGTCCAAAAATTTATAAAATTATTTAATCCTTTGCTTCCATAGTGCTTTCTAGATAGGCTATTTGACTTGTTTATTTTAAAAATTATAATAAACTAATTTTTAAACAGAGTTCCAAGCTGCTGGAACAACATCTGCTAAGCAATGCACAACGATTTTAACCCCTTTTCTTTTACAATTCATGCAATTCAGGGGCTACGACTGCTGTAGGTTTCTATTGTAAATTAACATTATTAGTTATCTCAAGGGTGGGTGTCAAGAGGATGGGACCAGACTCTTTTCAGTGGTGCCCAGCGACAGGACAAGGGGCAATGGGCACAAACTGAGGCACAGGAAGTTCCGTCTGAACATGAGGAAGAACTTCTTCCCTCTGAGGGTGACGGAGCACTGGAACAGGCTGCCCAGGAAGGTTGTGGAGTCTCCTTCTCTGGAGATATTCAAGACCCGCCTGGACAAGGTCCTATGCA